TCTTCCCTTTGAACGAATCCAAAGCCTCTTCTCCCCTCTCCCCTCTCCCCATGCTTCACCGCGATCTGTCGTCGTTATTCCAGTTTTTTTTTCTTCGAAATCCTTCGATGGTCACAGCTGGCTTCCAGTTTTTCGTCGCGTTGCGTCCATGGTTTCAGCGTAGCCTCCAGGATGTCGCTAGACAATTCTTTTGATAATTACTTAAATTAAAAAAACACGATGCACTACATTTAAGTTTACCAGGTAAGGCCCATTGAGCTCCGTAGCACCTTTTTCAGAAACGACCCGGCCACAAATGATAGCTCAACGAAGTGGCCTGTCATCGTGTGTAAATTTACAACAGACAAATACTGTGAACGCGTGATGTTGATTCTAAATGTGGAGGGAACAATCGGATGACTCGGAGAAAAATCCACGCAACCACGGAGAGAGAGGCACCGCAAAGTTCAAATATACAGCAGTTGTCAGAGTCGGAATCGAACCCACGACCTCCTGTACACCAGTCGAGGTCGTTAACATCTCGCCACCACGGCGCCCTTTTACCGAGACTATATTCATGAACGCTGCCATAGCCTGATCGTCAGCGCACTGGACATCCAATCTAGTGGCCGACGATTCGATTCCATCTCCCGACGCGCAGTCGTCGACACAACGGTGGCGAGTTTCTTAATTCCCCACTCGGTGGGCCTCTGTACACCCAGCCCGGTACGAATGGACTCACTCTGGTTCGCCGATCGGCGGATCACGACGGGGAAAAGTTACTGGTACTCCAACCTCTTCTTCTCTTCAAAATACACCCTCTGAGCAGGAGAGGCCCTTCCACCAGCAGTGGCAATTGCAGGGCCTGCGCCTCTACCTCACACTAAACGCGTGTTCCGAGGGATTATTGTTTTTTGCAACACGACAGCTTTGGTGTTCGTAAACACGTCCACAGTGCACGCTCGCCCTGTGCATTGGACCATTTAGTGGGGGTTTATTTTGAAGAAAAAAAACTCTTCTGCGTGTGTATTTATTTTCCTGCCAAATCCACACATGTTTCTGTGGATGGACCCTGTATGGGAGTTGCACTGGTTCGTCTGGATTTCTTTTTTTTCGGTACTGTATTCGCTTTATTGGAAATGCCAATATCTAAAGAACCACAAGGCTGTGAGCGGTGGCGCAGTGGTTAGCGTGCCGCGCTACGATCCCAGCGACGCGAGTTCGATTCCCGCTCACCGCGAGTCCTGGCTCGCTCATAGGTCTACTCAGCCTCAAATGAGTACCCAGTGCTGTGTGTAAACATCGCCACTAGGCAGACAAATGTGGCCAGACGTAGTGCTGGCCACCCCACCCCCTCGTGCGCCATGCCGGCCTTCGTAGGTGCTGCTCGCTAACAGCACCTGCACCAACAGTCTGGAGGTGTATGCAACAGTGGAGCGAAGCGAAGGAAGAAGCGGAAAGAGGGTCGTTGTGACCTGCAGTGTGGTGAGTGAGCCGAGTGCGTTGTTGCATACCTGCAGTGTGGTGGTCGAACAGAGTTTGGATGAGACGCGACAGTCAAGCCTGCTAGCCCGAGGCCTCACCTCGAGCGAAGGCTTCGATTAGCGAAGTTTCATGGGAACAGAAGCGATAGAGGAGTGGTACGTGGGCAACCGACGACCAGTGAGGGAGTGATTGGTGTGATTTGGTGGGTGCTGGCTCATCGGTCGAACTGACAGTCTTCCACTGCATTCTCTCACGTCGCAGCATGAGATCTCAAGAGCCCTCGACATGCGCTACATGGTACTGTGTCCGTATCATGGCGATGCATTGGTGAGATGTTATTTTCTTCGCCTGGTATGCAGGAGGTCAGGGGTTTGACCCCGACTCTTGATGCCTGCTGTATGTTTGGAATTTGCATGTCTCGCTCCCCGTGGTCATGTGGATTTTTTTCCTCCGGATCCTCTGGTTTTTCCCACCACATTTAAAATCAACATGCATGTACATCGTTTCGATGATTTGGCTGCTATACATTTCCACGTGATGAGCCACTTCGTTGAGCTATTATTTGTGACAGCCCGTCCGCTTCTGAAAAAGACGCTGACGGCTCAGTTGGCCTTACCTGGTTCTGAAGTGGGCTGCGTGGCAACGGCGGAGCGGTTTGATTGCCCGGCTCGAGTGTGCGCACAGCGGAAAAATAAAAACCCGGAGCGTGCGAGGTGAGGCAACAGTCACGTGGCACCTCGGGGCCTGTGAGGGGTCACTGGATCATGCCCATTGTTGCAGAATTAGTTTTTTCTCTTTTATATATAAACAAAACTATTTTTTTGGTGTTAAGTTCCTCATTGAAAAGCGTTGTCACATGTTTTTAATGACACGGTATTTGGGACGTTTTTTTGTCCAGCACACTTGTTCAAACCAGCTGCGGTTATGAAAGTTAAGGCCCTCGCTAACGCATGCCCCCACGAGTGAACACTAAACATCGCAAGATATGTATTCTAAATGAAAAGGTCTTCATGTTACTGTTCAATTCTAGATCCGCTTGCTAACATTTTACTCACAAAAGTGTCAAAATTGGGAGAGTTAATTCCTCCAAGACTCAAAACCTCACTCAGAGTTCAAAGCCCTTAATCCACGAGTCCTGAAAGTTCAGAGCGTGGCGAGCCACAAAGCTGCTTCGTGTTCACCGGTGGCGTCACTGTCGAGTGTGCAGGCGGTGCAACTGTGCCGGAGCCCAAAATGGGACGGAGGAGGACCCAGGCTGCCAGTTTACATGGAGCAGCAGGCAGTTGTTGATTCACCAACTTGTCCCTAGTGCCAGCCCCGCTACGCCACTTGTGCCCCCCTCCCCCTAGAATTAGTCGCACCTGTCCATGCAAAACGTAAGCGTTGATATATTAAAAAGATATCTCTCTCTCGCTCTGGATCCGTATTGCCATTGGCTCTGGGACTGGAGCCTTGTTTTTTTTTTACTAAATCCCCAAATCCCCCCCCCCTTCCCCCCCGGTCGGATTTCAACAGAGCGAGAAACTCTCCCCCCAGCCCCCCACCACGCTGGCACGAACCCCCACAGTGCCCCCCCCCCCCCCCCGCTCCACACAGAGCGCCTCCTCCTCATCTCCCGCTTCCGCTCGGCGAGTTTGGTAGAGATGGATCTATTTTTTGGTTTGAAACGCGGGAGGCAAGGATGTGGGCGGAGGCGGGTGGTGGTGGTTTGGTGGTGGTTTGGTGGTGGGGGTGCGGTGGTGGGGGTGCGATGGTGGGGGTGCGGTGGTGGGGGTGCGGTGGTAAGCGCGCCTCGCTATCAACCCCCGGGGGGAGCGAGTTCGATTCCCGCTCACGGCCAATACCAGTGACGGTTATTTGAACCGGTCCTGGGCCTCCCCTAGATCTACTCAGCCTCAAACGTGTGCCTGGTGCGATGTGTCAACATCGCCACTGGGGAGACAAAGGCGTGGTGCTGGCCACCTACCCCCCTCGTGTGCCGTGCCAACCTTCATATGAGCTCGCGAACAGCACTTGCCCCAACAGCATGTGCAGGCTATACGGGGGATCTTTGTCTTTGGTGGACGGGGGTGGGGGCGGGGGGGAGGCTTGGCACGAGGTGAGAGCCGCTCTCACAGAGCAGCGCTCCGTGTCAGCTGACGCTTGTTTATAAATTTGTGCTGGACGTTTATTTGTTTCAGCTGTCCATGCTGGCGCGTTCCACGTGTGTGTGTCTGCGCGCTCGGTTTCACGCGCGCTGCTCGGAACGATGACAGGGTCACGTGCGTTGTGCCGTGCGTGGCGATGATGGCAGCGGAGGGGCCAGGCTCGGTTGTCGGGCGTCAGAAATCTTACACAACGCAGGGCGCGATCGAGCCAAACTTCACACGCGCTGCAGATTTACACACGAAACACACGCACAATGACAAAGATCCCCCGTATAGCCTCGGCGGTGCTCACGTATGTGTGTTGGAATAATCAGAGGTGCGGGGGAAGGACAACAAACTGAGCACTAAAAGCAGTTTTTTAAGAAATTAGTTTTCAATCTTCATTATTTACAAGTGTTTGGCTCGAGTTGCTTTCTAGTATCGAAAGGAAGAGGGTTTCCGGACAGCAGCAGAAGCGCATCTGAAAGTGGGCGACGCAGTGACCATCTTTGTGAGGATGACCGGAGTTTGCATGATGGTTTATGCTCCATGATTAGATCAGCAAAGTATTGTGGCTCATTTATGGCAAGCACTTTGCATGTGATGAGTGCGACCTTACAGACTGTTGGGACAAGTGCTGTTAGCGAGCACACGAGGGGGTGGGTGGCCAGCACAATTCCCAGTTGCCTTTGTCTCCCGAGTGGCGATGTTTACCCATCGCACCAAGTACTCATTTGAGTCTGAGTCGACCTAGGGGAGGCCCAGGACCAGGTCACATATTCGTCACTAGTGTTGTTGGGTGTGAGTGGGAATCGTAATCGTGCCGCCAGGCTCGGAGCGCAGCGCGCTAACCACCACACTCCCGCTCCCTGCACACGCACAACCTTGCACATGCGCACGCGAATGCACACAAAGACACGCACACATGCATACACAATGACGTCCATTGCAGAGATGGAACGATCATTAACATTTGCTCGTGCGCAGGTGCTAGACGGATTGCTCCATTAGAGGATCGTGAGAGATCGCGATGGCTTGGGGTTGGGAGGCCTTCATCCAGCGGTGGATTGATCATGGCCGATGATACTGATGATGCCGATGCCGATGTTGATGCTGTTGGTGCTGATGATGGTGCTGCTCATGACGTTGATACTGAAGATGCTGATGCCGATGATGTCGATGATACCGGTGGTGATAATGATGAAGGTGGTGATAATGATGAAGCTGGTGATAATGATGAAGGTGGTGATAATGATGAAGGTGGTGATAATGATGAAGGTGGTGATAATGATGACTGTGGTGATAATGATGAAGGTGGTGCCAATGATGAAGGTGGTGATAATGATGACTGTGGTGATAAGGAAGAAGGTGGTAAATAACGATGGCTGCGTTGCACTGCCGTCCTAACAGAGGACGGCGCGGGCTCGTGCCTGCTGAGCACCGACTTCCACTGCGCCAACGGGCAGTGCGTCGAGCCACGCATCACCTGCGACTACAAGGACGACTGCGGTGACAACTCGGACGAGGTGGACTGCGGTGAGACGCGCTCTCCCGGCCGCGTGATGCCTGCGGCCTTGTCGGCGCGCGAATCAGCCAATTGGTGCCACCACCGCCAGCAACGCCACCACCGCCACCACCGCCGCCACCACCGCCACCACCACCACCACCGCCACCACCACCACCGCCACCACCGCCAGCACCGCCACCGCCACCACCACCAGCACCGCCACCACCGCCACCACCGCCACCGCCGCCGCCACCGCCACCACCGCCACCACCACCGCCACCACCACCGCCCACCGCCACCACCGCCACCGCCACCACCGCCACCACCACCACCGCCACCACCGCCGCCACCGCTGCCACCACCGCCACCACCGCCACCACTGCCGCCACCACCACCACCACCACCACCGCTGCCCGAGAGGATGCGATGAGTCGATCGCCATTCAAGCGCTAATCTGAAGCCCCTGTGCGATTTGCCCGCCAGGGAAATACTTTCTGCCGACGTTGGTGGCGACAGAAAGCGCCCATCAGGGGGAAAGTTCAGTAATTTTTGGGTGTTTGGTGGCTGTAAATCTCCACGCGATGATAATCCACTTCGTTGCGCTTTCATTCTCTGTTACGCAATTTTTTAGGAACTTATCCTCAGCGTCTGAATTAACACTGTGTTCGGGTCGTAACCGTGTGGCGTTCGGCGCGACGTCCGACGTTTCGCTCCACGAGCCTCAGTTTCCCGAAGAAGCTCCACCGGCACGTGCGAGAGAGCGCGAAAATGTCGTGTGGCCGCGCTCACCCTCCGCCCCTGTCTCTCGTGGCCGTCAGTGAGCGTTGCCGGCAGCTGCGACTTCAACGAGCGTGGAGGCGAGGAGGCGAACGATGTGTGGTGCGGCTGGAGGAACAGGGAGGAGGATAGCGACTTCACCTGGGTACTGGAGCCACGCGGCGTTTCGCACGGATCGGGTCCAACCGAAGACCATACTCCCAGTGAGACGAGAGGGGGGGCGGGGCAGGGGGGGCGGGTGGGGGGTCTTCGTTGTTTCTTAGAGTGCCACGCGGTCAAGTCGTCGCTAAAGTCACTGCCCGGCGGACGAGCGCGGTCGACCCCGCAGCCAGGACAGGCGGCCCACGGAGCGTCGAGAGGGGATGGAACGTCACCGCGTGCGGCGTGAAGGTCATCGGGCAGAAGGGGACTCTTCCTTTGAAGCCTCCCACAGGCAGCAGAGCTCCGCTTCGTGTCAGTGGACAGACCCGCAGGATTGAGAGCAAACGGAAAGTGTTTTTATTCGTATGTATCAGAACCACCATTTGTATTTAGACTGGAGGAATCCAATGGGCTACGAAGCGCTGTTTGTTGCAACAACAACAACAACAACGTTGGGTTCTTCAGTCATAGCGTCGTGAGAGTGCCTTGGTGCACGAGGTGGATGAGTCATCAGACCGCGTGTCACGACCACGTCCTGGGAACGTTCTGACTCACACCGGGTAACACAGACCAATGTCACAAATGAAGCGTGGCTTCCTTATTTTTGCGAAAACAAGGATTATAAAGTCTGAAAAGCTTATCACAGAAATTCGTAGACGTGGAATTCAATCCCTGCAGTCTAATTCCCTGATGTTATCCTTCGCTCACACTATAACTTCACGTTCATTTATGCCGCCTTGATGTGCCGGTTCTTGAACTTGCGTTTTCAATAGAAACAAAGCAATATTTAGTCTTTTTGAAATGTGTTTTTTTCCAATGTAGCTATCGGCACTCACAGAGAGAGGGGAGTGAATCACTAGATATGTTAGAGAACAGCCCGCTGAAGGGGATATCACAGAACCGCTGCTGAGGTCCCATCAGGTGACATTTCTGATGCTGCAGAGTCATACTGAATGGCAGTAAACCCCAGTATTTTTTTTATTACAGTTCCAAATTACCCTCCAGCCTCCCCGAGTATCGTAACTCGAAAACGTCCTGGCTTTTAATCCGAGTAAGTTGATTGCACAAAAAAAACCCGTCACTTTGAACTTGGCACGTCACTCAACTTGGATTCAATCCCAGCTCCCTTTACCAAAACGCAGGTCTGATCTGCCATGCGACGAACATTTCTCCGCAGCGGCGCCAAGCGAGGAGAAGCGGCATGGATGAGAGAGAGGTGGCTTTGAGAGGGCTCCCGGAAGCAGTTCTGTCATATCCACTTCCCGCGGGCCTGTTCTCTTCGACGCAGGGCCTAGCTCTGCGCCACGAGAGCTCCAGGTTGGGAAGCTTCTCCGCCTTGGTAGCGCAGTCGAATAAAATGGAACAGGACGGTAGAGCCTCTGACCAAAATCCCCCAAAAGCTCAGCCGTGGTTTGAGCCTGCTGGAGAGTGCTTGGATGATGGGTGGCCACCGTGCACAGAGCGGGCATCGTGAGCTGGCACGGGGCCACGGGAGTGAGCGGCATAGGGACAGTGAGGAAACATGAGTTTGTTGTGCTGTGCTGTGCTCCACGTATTCGTCGGCCCTCACCCCGGCCCTCGCTGGCCGGCGGGAAATGTGGTAGACACGATCCCTACGACTCGCACGGTGCGGGGAGGTGGTCATCCAGCAGTGGATTGAGCGTGGCTGCTCATCGACAATGACGATGATTAATAGATGATGATGGTGATGATTGATGGACGATGAAGATGACGATGATTGATAAATGATGATGATGATTAATAGATTATGGATGATGATGATGATTATGATAATGATTGATAGATGATGATGATGATAATGATGCTGGTGATTGGTAGATGATGATGATGCTGATGATTGATGATGACTGAAATATGATGATAGATAGATGATGGTGGGGATGATGATGATTAATTGATGATGTTTGACAGATTATAGATTTTGATGATTGGTGGATGATGACGACGATTGACGATGCTGACGATTACGACGACGACGTATGGTCGGCAGACTTGAGCGGTGGCTTCCTGCGAGTGGACACGGCGGGGCGCAGCGTGGGCCAGCGCGCCGGCCTTGTGGCGCCCGCCGTCTTCCCCGCGTCCTTCGGCCTGTGCCGCCTGCGCTTCTGGTTCTTCATGTCGGGCTCTGGGCACAAGGCCGCCCTGAGGGTGAGCCCCTGCGTGGCAAACCGCACGGCAACCTCAGAGCAACCGCACAGCACCCGCATGGCAACCGGACACGAGCAAAGTTATCACTGCTGAGCTCAAGAGTGTGTGCGACGCCGTGGTGTGAAGCACATGTGTGTGTGACGTGGTGGTGTGACGCATGTGTGTGTGACGTGGTGGTGTGACGTGTGTGTGTGCTACGTGGTGGTGTGACGCGTGTGTGTGACGTGGTGGTGTGACGTGTGTGTGTGTGTGATGCGGTGGTGTGACGTGGTGGTGTGTGTGATGTGTGTGTGTGTGACGTGGTGGTGTCACGTGGTGGTGTGACGCGTACATATGTGACGTGGTGGTGTGACGTGGTGGTGTGACGCGTGTGTGTGTGACATGGTGGTGTGACGCGGTGGTGTGACGTGGTGGTGTGACGCGCGCGTGTGTGTGACGTGGTGGTGTGACGTGTGTGTGTGTGACGCGGTAGTGTGACGTGTGCCAGGCACAAGCGTCGTGGTGACGTCACCGTCACTTAGTGGCGAATGGCGGTTCTTGCTGTTGTTGGTGTGACGTGTGTGTGTGTGACGTGGTGGTGTGACGCGGTGGTGTGTGCGACGTGCAGGTTTACAGCCAGGGCGAGAGCGGCGCGCCCATCCTCATGTTCGTGGCGCGGGGGGACATGGGCACGCAGTGGAAGTACGCCAACATCGAGGTGTCGCACTCGGTGCCCTTCCGCGCCGTCTTCGAGGCGGAGACGGGCAGCGAGCAGCCGGTCTCCATCGCCCTGGACGACGTCTCCTTCACGCCGTCGTGCAACCTCACGGGTATGCCGTGAAACCACCGTCGCCGGCGGGCCCGCTCCACCAACGTCTTTCCAAACTCCGTATAATTCGGCATGAGAGGTTTGGTGAACGAGCCAGCGACCTCCGGACCGCGAGTCCATCGTGCTAATCACGGCACCGCGGCAGCGGTCCCTCGCATCACACTATGTTACAAAGAAAGTTTCTGCTGGCTGGCCGGCTGGTTGGCTAGAGGGAAGGACGGACCGATGGTCACGTCCAAAGGACGTGAGCGTTGCTAGTAAATACAAAAACAAGTCGGAGTGAATTCCTGCTCAAATGAGTTTTGAAGCGGTGCTAATCTGCTGTTTACAACCCTGAACCAGTTGTCGAAATTCTTCATCCCTATGGCACGTTCATTTTTATCGACCCCCCGGGAGATGTTGATTTGAGTCGACCCCCCCAACCAGAGCTTGAAATGGCAAACTTGCAATTTGCGAGCCACTCACTGCTGCTGCAGAGCCAACATACAGAACGCCATGATTATTATGAGCATCACGCTTGTTTGCCCTACAAGAAAACCTCACAGAGTCTCATGACTTTTTTCAGGAGGGTCCTGCCAAGTTTCCGCAGTGTGGCAGGGGGGGGTAGTGGTGGGAGGGGGAGGTGCTGGTGGCTATGTAGATCCCAATTGAGTCATTTGCGGATGAATTTTTCTCATCTGAAAACAAATATTAAATTCACATTGGTTTCAAGGTGCAGAACGACGCAAGTGTGTGCCTGTGCCGACTGTTCCGTTCACGTGGCAGGAAGGTTCGGAGCACGGGGGGGGTGGACGCGGAATAGGTTCCATTGCTTACGCGCGCTGCTACCAAACTCCACCCAGTGCCCTGCTCCCTCCACGCTCTCATCATTCTCGCTTCCCCACTGACGCCCGCGATAAATCTGTGCGAGACCCACCCCTGACTGCCGCCGAGTCTGTCGCAAACTCGTGATCACCTTCGGAAAGTTTTTTGTTCGTCTTCATGGCGCAATATAGGAGCAGGTTTCCCTCGCTCTACGCCGGTCCAATTTGTGCAATTTCGTGCCGTGTATGTGGCGAACGCCCCTCATGTGCCTTGCCGGCCTTCATAGGTGCTCGCTAACACCGCTTGCCCCAAAAGTCTGTTCAGGCTATATGGGGGATCTTTCTCTTTGCTTGTCCTATTCCCACCCACGGCTAACGTCAGTGACGAATATCTGAACCCGTCTTGGGCTTCACCTAGGTCGACTCAGCCTAAAATGAGTACCTTGTATACTGTAAGGCGGCCGGGTGTGGTGCTAGCCGCACGTGCACCGTGCCGATCTGAATAGGTGCGCGCAAACAGCAAGCGCCTGTGTAGGCTACACGGGGAATCGGAATTTGTGCGTGCATGTATGTGAGGAGCGGTGGCACAGTGGTTAGCGCCCTGCGCTAGTGAGTTCAATCCTCACTCATGGCCAACTCGGGAAGACAAGGGCGGCTGGGCACGGCACGCGAGCTGTACCGGACCTCATCGGCGGTCGCTCACATCACTTGCCCCAACTCTCTGTTACAGCCGTACGGCGGATCTTTTGTCATTATCTATCTACGTGCATTATCCCACTTGCGCGCGTGCGCCCGCGTGCAGGCGCGATGTGCCCTGACAACTGGTACTGGTGCGGCGAGCACCAGCGCATGTGCCTGCCCTCGGAGCTGGTGTGCGACGGGCGGGAGGACTGCCCCGGGGGCAGCGACGAGGAGCGCTGCCCCACGCCGAGCCTGGACACGGGTTGCCCCCCGTCCACGTTCCTGTGCGGGAACGACTCCTGCGCCCCCGCGGCCCCCATTTGTTACGACGCGGCCGACTGCCTCGTCGGCCAAGGGGACGCGTTGGACTGCTGTGAGTGCCATTGTCGTCGTGGTGGTGGTTCTGCTCGGGCCTGGATGTCCAGTTTTCATGTTGGGGTTGGCACCATCAGGGCGCCACAGTGTTGAGATGTTAAATACCTCGCCTGGTATAGAGGAGGTCGTGAGTTCAGTCCTGACCATAACACCTGTGTATTTGGAGTTTGCGGTGGCTCTCTCCCCGTGGCCGCGTGGATTTTTCTCCTGGTCCTCCGGTTTTTCCCTCCACATTTAGAAGCATGCGTTTAGAGTATTTGGCTGCTATAATTGTCCACGTGATGATGAGTCACTTCGTTGAGCTATCATTTGTGGCCAGGTCAAATTAAAACATTCTAGTGTCGTTTTTTTACTTTGTGTAATGCCATGACTGCTATATAGTTTAGTTTTATTTGTGTATATATGTTTTAATTGATTTGTTTCCCTTTAATTGCTGTTGTAACGTTCTTACCCGCCTCTACTGGACATCTGTAAAAAGAGCTTCATAGCTTATCGGATTCCTCCAGTGTACATAAATAATCTAATTCTGTGATCATCAAGTATATCCGTCCACTATCATCATTCATTCATCATCATCCGCGTATCACGATCATCGTCCAATCTTTCTTTTCCTTTACTTCTAAAGCACAATTCCCAACACACCCGCCACCCGCCGCTGTGTTTCCAGCCCAATTGTGCACTCGCTGTTTACATCCTCGTAAAAAAAAAATACAAACTACAGTGCCCGTATGAAGCAGCCACACGTGGAGTGGCAGTCTGCTGTGACCAAACAAAGATGATAATTGTGATAATTGTTTTTTTTACCTTTTATCTGGCAACAAAACTGACACCTTTTTTTACAAGGAGTCATGTTTGCAAAGACAAAGATCCCCCGTGTTGGCCGTGTAGCCTTTAAGAGATCGCTGCAGCAATTGTTGTTAGCGGGCACCTATTAAGTCTCCCACCAGTGTCCCACCAATGTCCCACCGGTCTCCCACTGGTCTCTTACCAGTCTGTATGTATGTGTGTATGTTGAACTTCTTTCGCACCATACATCGCCAACCGTGCTAATTGGAGGTGCGGGAGAAGGACAACAAGCTGAACACAAAACACGGTCTCCCACCCGTCTCTGGGACCGCCTCGATCTCCGTTGCCATGTTGGAGAGTTCTGTGTGGCACACACACAGAGACATGTTGCGCACGCCGCTGTGCGTTCAGTACGGTCCGCCTGTTCCTGCTCTTAACCCGAACCGCGTGCTGTGATGACCGCCAGGGTGTTGGGACGTGGACTGCAGGAACGAGGGAGTCTGCGTTTTGAACGGAACAACTGGAATATGCCGGTGCGTATATCTGCCAGCAGTGCACCGTGGAGGACACGTTTATCAACATTAATGCCCATCCCATGTACCGTATTCTACAAATTAGAGCCGCACCCCAACTCGTGCTCGGTTATCAATAAAGTAATTGAAATCAGGGCGCACATGCACACACATGCGCACACATGCACACACATGCACACACATGCGCACACATGCACACACATGCACACACATGCGCACGCAACCCAACAGAATATAAGACGCACCCCTAACCTCATGCTTTAAAACACAGGGTCTGAAGCGGGTCATGATCTGGAGAATATGGTATTTATTTGAAAGAGAACGACCAGAGGTCGCAACCGGGTACCCGATACCCGTACCCTACCCGATACCCGGCTACCCGTACCCGGCCAGGTACAGGTACAGGTACCCGTTTGCGACCCTGGTGCGGCCGGGTACGGGTAGGCCGTGAGTCACTGGTGAGTAACCGTTTGTCACTCATTTCGGATAGGGTACGGGTACGGGTAGGGAACGGCTACCCTTTCCCGGCCGGGTACGGGTACGGGTACCCATTTGCGACCCTGGTGCGGCCGGGTACGGGTAAGGAATCAAAACCCGTTTGCGACCTCTGAGAACGACTCAATATTCAAGGTCGTATTTCCCCGCGCGTTTTTGTCTCCCGCTCCTCCCACGTCAGTTGCGCGCAAGGATGGCAGGGAGCGCACTGCCTGCTTCCGGACGCGGTGCACCCCTCGGTCAGACCTTCCCGCCAGAACCCCGCGTACTCCATCGAAGGTCGGCAGAGCGGACGGTGGCGGTAGCTGAGACCGCGTGTGACACCATTAGAACCTCATTTGCCAGTAGCAAAATATGATAATTAGTTTTTTACCCTTTTATCTGGCAACAAAAATGACACTTTTTTTTTACAAGGAGTCATGTTTGCATTGACCACAATACCTGCAGTCGGAATGCAAACAAAAAACATAACTCTGATAATGTATGCACTGTCCTTGAAATTGATTGGTCCACACCCGAGACACTTTAGAGCCTAGTCTCACGTGGTGTTGGACCAAATGACGCCGAAAGACCATGGCCACCAATGGGCCCTGCGTCCTGCGTCGCTACCGTGCGACGCTCCACCTTCCCGTTTGTTCTACGGGGGGGTGGGGGCATTTGCTTATTCGGGGGGGTGGAAAGGATCGATGATGGGGGGGTCCTTTGAGAAATGATTGGGGTCCTTTTAGAGATACGCCAGAGATGACTCTTATACCGCGCTGCGCACCTGGCGACCCGAGTTCGATTCCCGCTCATGGCCACCAACACCGGTGACAATAATCTGAACCGGTCCTGGGCCTCCCCTAGGTCGACTCAGCCTGAAATGAGTACCTGGCGTGGTGTGTAAACGTCGCCACGGCGGAGACAAAGTTGGCCGGGCGTGGTGCCGGCCACCCACTCCCTCGTGTGCCGTGCCGGCCTTCGTAGTTGCTCACTGACAGCGCTCGCCCCAAAAGGTCAGTTGAGGCTCCACAGGGGATCTTTGTGTGGTGTCGTTGGTGCAGTGTGGGCCGCCGTGGTGATCGCCGCGGCTCTGCTGCTGCCCCTCGTGCTCCTCGCCGCCTTCATCCAGCAGCGGCGTCGCCTGCAGACACTGTGAGGCCGCCCGCACTCCGCTCCTCCCTCGTTAGAGATGATCAGTTCATGAGCAGGGATACGTCGCAGCCGGATCCGGCCAGATGGGCGTCCTGAAAATAAAACGATTTTGCCCCGCCGCCTCCCGGACACACCACATCCAGTCTCGCTATCACTACGGCTGTGACTACTGGCCACATGCCTACTACTCCAGTTTTCAAGACACCTGGGAAATGTTCGGTGAGAAATTAGTGCCTGTGAATCGAAATCAGTGTTTATACTGGAAGAAAATCCGATGAGCTATGAAGCTCTTTTTCACAGATGTCCAGTAGGGGCGGGTCAGAACGTTACAACAACAAACAGTAGTGCAAAGTATGGGAGAGGTAAACAAATCACTTTAAAACATATGGACAAATAAAACTCAGCTATTTTTACACGCTTTCTTTTAACTCACTCTGTCTGTTGTTGTTGTATCCTCAAATCTTGTAACTCAATTTTAACCCACTTCCCAATGTGGTATCGACTGCAAACTTGGTATACTTATGTCATACGGATGACAATACCATATTCCATCATAAAAAAAAAATTACATTCTTTTTTATATGTTTTGTTTCGGCTTGGGTCTAATTGTCCACGGTCAACTGACGTTGGCTGTATTTGGCCATGGCCCCTTAAGTTATGGCAAGCTTCGGGGCCACTTCCTGGAGTCGTGGAGTTCTGCCATTACTAGTACATTTCATAAAAGCGTGTTTAAAAAAAAGTGTTTTAAATATTACTTATTTATATTACCAGGTAAAGCCCACTCGGCTATTAGTTTATGTTTCAGAAGTGACCCTGCCACATATGATAGCCCAACGAAGTGGCTCATCATGTTATAATATAGACACATGCTTCCCAACAACGTGTGGTGCGATTCAACAATCAAATAGTTTTGTTTATATTTTAGTGACTATATATATGTTTTACATGGTAGGTAATGTAGCAAGCAGCATCTAGTGGCTACAGGGGTCATGTGAACCCCATTACGTACAACAATACACTTGTGATTTGATGCATGTATCGTGCGATTCGAGACTCGATAATAACGATAGCTCAGTGGCTCATGGTGACCCTTAACTGGGTAGCACGTGGTTTACTCCATATGGAGCCGCTACAGCATGCGGCTGATGCGATGTTCAAGGGTCTTCTGTATAATAATTATGATATTACGTTCTTAGAAAGTGCCGCGAAATCCAAAATCGCTATATTCAAATCAAGATGAAATACTTAAGCTTCACCTAAATAAGGGAATTAGGTATACAGCAACCATCAATTAACACATCACAGTTGAAATAAGTACTGTAATGTATGCCAAATAAACGAAATAATTGAGATAAACATGTAAAAAACCCCATCCAAAAAAACATTCCTAGACGATAAATAGTATCAATATTAGAGAGATGGGCAAAACACATCAGCCTCACAAATCACTTGGGTAATTCCAATGCAGATACAAAGTACCAATTACTTTTAGGTGTGCAATTAAGATATCAGTCACAAACGTAATGGGAATACATATTTAAATGATACGTTATTGAGACACTGTGTGCATATGTGGGTACATGTGCACATGTACGTGCCCGTACATTGGTGTGTGCTTGTGTGCACGTGCGTGCGTGCGTGCGTGTGTGCGTACAGATCCAAACTCGACGATGATTCCTTCCCGATCATAAAACCAGACGCTTGGCCAAAGTCAGACCTCGCCAAACTCGTAAGCAACACTCTCCTGCACTTCACCACGCGTTGCAATCGCAGCGTCAGCTGTTTCTTTAAAAATCATATTCAGCGTGCTTCACATTTTGTTCTCCACCGAGTGACCTCGCCGCTGTCAGTACGTGGATTCCCCAATGGCGCATTCGAGGATTATAAAACGTGCGGGGGAGGGGGGCAGGGGGGGGGGGCATGGCCCACTGTGAGGGTCGATCGGTCGGGAGGGTGAGCGGCTACCCAACAATGTCGGGGGGGGGGGGACTTATGGGGGCTGAGCCCCCCCCCCACCGCCCTCCGCTGAAGGCTCAGCCCTCCCCCTAAATCCCCCTTCTGGTCAAAAACCCAGAAACTGTCAGCACGGCATTAACAGGGAGGGTGGGGGTCGGAGCTGCCCAGCATGATGGACGAGAAAGCACTCCGCGTCGACACTCGCTTTGTCTCGCTACCGACGTTTTGTCGTAAAGCTTCTCCAACGTTGACAGCGCCGTGCCCTCGGCGGGTCTGTGAGTGCCCTCCCTCCCCCCCTCACCCCCTCCACCCAGTCCAGCATAGGTCCCCACCACAGCGGGGCAGGGCCGCGGCTCTCCCCGAGGTGCCCGTTCGACGGTTCGCAGACTCATCTTCTTGGTTTTTTCGGTAAAGTCACGTAGAAGGGAAGTGATAAAATAATAGACAGCGTCTGAACCCATTCAGACGCTGTCTCCCCGACAGACCTGGTCTTCACCTGAGGACGGCTGCTTGCGTTGTGGCCGAAACGTCGTGAGAATTATTTTATTATGTTTTATTTTTATTATTTTATTACTTCCCTTCTACGTGACTTTACCGAAAGAACCAAGAAGATGAATCCCTGCAGTCACGAAAGCTTTAAATCGAAAAGCTTCACAGACTTTGAATTCTAACGTCATGACGGTCCGGTTTGATTTTTGTTCCGGCAGGCCCGATCACGGCGGCGCGGCACGCAGCCCTCGTCCTTCTGCAACCCGCTCTATCGCCGCCACTCGGACCCGACAGTGGGCACGGTCCCCGTGGGCCTGCCCGCGACGTCCCGTGGGCGTCCCGACCGCTATGCGCAGCTTTGCACGCTGCGCCAGGTCGGGTGGCCTCACGGGGAGTCCCACCTCTAGCTGGGGAGGAGTCCGGTTGCCACCTTATCCGAGTTTTCCCAGGGTCGTCCTCTTTTAATTTGTTTTTTTTTTGGTTCAGGTAGCTGCTGTCCTGGGAAATGTGGAAGTCTTCCCGGGACAGTATTAATGACGTCCCTTGGTTGTGTTTTTTTTTGTTTGAGCCATTTGCGAAATAATGAACCACCCATTACATTGAGTCCTCTCATGCTTCCGGGTGTTGTGAGATGTTTTCCTTCTCCATGCTGCGTCCTGGTACTCTTGGCAGCCCCGAGGTGGCAACCCCTCGTCTCAATTAGGCGTCTTCCTGGCGCCATCGGTGCTCCCTTCGTCTTCTCTCCACCCTCGGAGTCAGGTTAAGGGGTTGGGTTTATGTGTCTGGTTAAGCACTCTGGTTAAGGCGTCTGGTTAAGTGGTCAGGTTAAACGGTCAGGTGAAGGGGTTAGGTTAAGGGGTCGGGTTAAGTGGTCGGTTTAAGCGGTCAGGTTAAGTGATCATGTTAAGGGGTCAGGTTTGGGGTCAAGTTAAGGGGTCGGGCACGCCTTTGCGAGACCACGCACGCAGATGTAGGGTTGAAGGGGACCATCGCGGGTGTAGATGTGAGTGAGGCCCACTGGAGTTGAGATGTGAGTGAGGCCCACTGGAGCCGAGATGTGAGTGAGGCCCACTGGAGTTGAGATGTGAGTGAGTCCCACTGGAGTTGAGATGTGAGTGAGGCCCACTGGAGCCGAGATGTGAGTGAGACCCACTGAGCTGAGATGTGAGTGAGTCCCACTGGAGTTGAGATGTGAGGCCCACTGGAGTTGAGATGTGAGTGAGACCCACTGGAGTTGAGATGTGAGTGAGGCCCACTGGAGTTGAGATGTGAGTGAGTCCCACCGGAGTTGAGATGTGAGTGAGTCCCACTGGAGTTGAGAAGTGAGTGAGTCCCACTGGAGTTGAGATGTGAGTGAGTCCCACCGGAGTTGAGATGAGAGTGAGGCCCACTGGAGTTGAGAAGTGAGTGAGTCCCACTGGAGTTGAGATGAGAGTGAGTCCCACCGGAGTTGAGATGTGAGTGAGTCCCACTGGAGTTGAGATGAGAGTGAGGCCCACTGGAGTTGAGATGTGAGTGAGTCCCACCGGAGTTGAGATGTGAGTGAGGCCCACTGGAGTTGAGATGTGAGTGAGTCCCACCGGAGTTGAGATGTGAGTGAGTCCCACTGGAGCTGAGATGTGAGTGAGTCCCACTGGAGTTGAGATGTGAGTGAGGCCCACTGGAGTTGAGATGTGAGTGAGTCCCACTGGAGTTGAGATGTGAGCGAGGCCCACTGGAGCTGAGATGTGAGTGAGTCCCACTGGAGTTGAGATGTGAGTGAGTCCCACTGGAGTTGAGATGTGAGTGAGTCCCACTGGAGTTGAGATGTGAGCGAGGCCCACTGGAGCTGAGATGTGAGTGAGTCCCACTGGAGTTGAGATGTGAGTGAGGCCCACTGGAGTTGAGATGTGAGCGAGGCCCACTGGAGTTGAGATGTGAGTGAGGCCCACTGGAGTTGAGATGTGAGCGAGGCCCACTGGAGTTGAGATGTGAGGGAGGCCCACTGGAGTTGAGATGTGAGTGAGGCCCACTGGAGTTGAGATGTGAGTGAGTCCCACTGGAGTTGAGATGTGAGCGAGTCCCACTGGAGTTGAGATGTGAGTGAGGCCCACTGGAGTTGAGATGTGAGTGAGGCCCACTGGAGTTGAGATGTGAGTGAGGCCCACTGAAGTTGAGATGTGAGTGAGGCCCACTGGAGTTGAGATGTGAGTGAGGCCCACTGGAGTTGAGATGTGAGTGAGGCCCACTGGAGTTGAGATGTGAGTGAGGCCCACTGGAGTTGAGATGTGAGCAAGGCCCACTGGAGATGAGTGGAACAACTGTTTAGAAGAAAAGTGTTTATATTCAGTGATTTTGTTTTTAATTCAAAAAAAGAAACAGTTTTATGCTCGAATTAAAGTCATGAAAAAAACGTGTGTTTTTTTACTCATACACGACATCAATGTTCCCCGACCAATGGGAATCTGTTCAAATGAATAATACGGGGGTACATGTGTATAGTGCGTGTCGTTTATTTCTGATTTATTTAGTTCTTCAAAAAATTGGCACAACAGGCAATGACGTTAAATAAACTTAGTTCTGTAGCTGTTCTCTCTCTTTTTTTATCTGGATCTGTGCACGAGCACTGGAAGTAATGATTCGGAATGCAGAGCCTCTGCCTCCTAATGCGAAACAGAAGAGCAGCGAGCGATTGCTGCAACCAGCGTGGTCTCCTTTGCATTCTACTCTCCGGGCAGAGATCAGCCGTGAACCTCAAGAGTCACGCGTCCCAGCAAATAGGACCATCGAGTCGTGCGAACCAGCCCTCGAAACGATTGGCTCGATATTCTGAAACCGCGGTGGTGAGATGTTAACTCCCTCGCCTGGTATTGAGGAGGTTGTGGGTTCGATCCAACCCTGACGCCTGTTGTATATTTGTGGTTTGCATGTCTCTCTCTCACCGTGGTCGCGTGGATTTGTCACTGGGCCCTTCGGATTTCCCCCCTCCACATTTAGACTCAACGTGCGTCCACGTGATAAGCCACTTCGTTGAGCTATCATTTGTGGCCATCTCGCTTCTGGAAAAGAGCTATGTAGCTCAGTTGGCCTTACCTGTAAAAATTTTGATTTAAAGCTTTCGTGACTGCAGGGATTCATCTTCTTGGTTCTTTCGGTAAAGTCACGTAGAAGGGAAGTAATAAAATAATAAAAAATAAAACACAATAAAATAATTCTCACGACGTTTCGGCCACAACGCAAGCAGCCGTCCTCAGGTGAAAACCAGGTCTGTCGGGGAGACAGCGTCTGAATGAAACAGCACACGAGCTTGGAGTATATATATAAGCTGGGTTGGAAGGGGGGGAAAGGGCGCTTCGACAAAAGAATTTGCATATCAAGAGGAATTTAGCATATTTATGGGAAATAAAACTTGTTTAGTTTCTAAAATAATAATTGTTTAGCTTGTGATTACTGTTATGTTCAGAGCGACTGCACGGTGACGAGGAGTTGATCATCTTACCCGCGTTCATCCGCACTTCACCGCTCAGATGACCTCGCAAAACAGGGAAGGTCCCATCTTAATTTTTGGAGCTTTCGTGACTGCAGGAATTATTCTTTGGTTTTTTTTCGGTAAAGTCACGTATAAAGATAAAATAATAAATTAAATAATAGCATACTAAGAACGATAAAAAACGAGTGTAGACAGAAAAATTACACTAAATATACAGGCAGAGAGAGAACAAAAACCCAGAGAGAGAGAAATAAAAAAGGTAAACTTGGAACTTCCCCGTAGAAGTGGTCCCGTCGTGCCGTCTCATGGCAGCCCAAGTTGAAGAGTTAAATCCCATTGTACGGAGCAATCTTCAGCAGCTCATCCGTCCCTTATAACGTCACTGGGTGTCCACACATCCAGTCGCGGGCGCGTTCCATCGCTGACGAGGATGAAACGGCGGAGAGTGGTTGGGGTGTTCCCCCCAGAGAGACGCAAGCATTATTTTCCCAGAAGTCCATCGTCCCGACTCGGGTTCCCCACCCGTAAGGTAATTTTGCACAGAGAGTGCATGTCCATATCAGATGGCGTCCAACAATTTCAATTTGCGTCATTACGTAGAACATACGTGGCAACAACATGCGTAAGCAGGGAATACGTCTCGTTTATATATCTGCCTCGTAATAAGAGTGTTTCTTACACAACCCATCAGCTCCACGGCCTCTTCTGGGAGTCCGTGATTCCAGCAGCATTGATTCAGTCCATATTTTTGTTGTTTTTGCTTGTACCGGGATCAGTGGTGCCGAAAGTCACGCACTTCCAGAAGGCCGTGGGGGCCGATGGTTTGTGTTGGTGTTGGGGGAGGAGGAGAAACCCCTTAATCTTGTTTTTAAGCGAATGGACAGATATATGAAGCGAGGCGGCGGATCGCCTACTCGGCGCTGTTTTTGACGCCGGGGATGCCGCGTCTTGCGAGTGCAACAACACGTGCCCCCTGTCGTCCGTATGTCGTTAGATTCAAAGGGCAGAGGTGGGGGCAACTCGCGTCCAGACAGGAGGAGAGAGAGAGAGGAAATTAACCACGAGTAGCAGGCCAGGCGCCCCCCTCCTCCCCCAAGCGAAGCGACAACTGAACGCAGTTGGGGAGAAGCGTGAACGAGCAGACGTGGCCCAGCTGCTGCGTCTTGTGACGCTGACAATTACAGCACAGGCGATGCGACAGACGCGTGTTGTGTCCCCCCGCAGAACAAACAAATAAACCCCTGTTTGTGTGTTTGAAATATAGGACTGTTGGGGAAAGTAGGCGCTGTTGGCGAGCACCTATGAAGGCCAACGCAGCGCACGCCGGTGCGTTGTGGCCTCAGCACGATACGTACACCGGAGTCACCCTTTGATGTTTACACACGACAATAGGTCCACATTTAAGTAGACCTAGGGGAGGCCCAGGATTGGTTCAAATACATATCACTGTGATTGGTCGTGGGTGAGAATGGAACTCGGGCCGCTGGGTTCGTAGCGCAGTTGCGAGAACGACAACGACCGTTCTCCAGGCTCGGTGCACCTTGAGGCCACGTGATGGGTCAAAGGGTCGCCGGCAGGAGGTCACGGGACAGACCTAGGTGTCCACTGTGCCAACACATATACAAATATCCCCTCGTATAGCCTTAGCAGACTGTGGGGGCGAGTGATGTGAACGAGCACACACACATGCACATACGCACACGAACTCTTTTATTAATTGTTGTACAGCATTCTGTATAGCAGAGCAGAATGAGAAAGGTTTTGCAAGTGAAGTCTGTACTGTGGTCTGTTTTTTTTATGATTGTAAATCTTTTGGAGGAATGTTTGATTAATTCCGAGTGAATAGTATTTTTTTTCTTCTACATTTTAAGCCAGAATATCCGTAAACGTGATTCGTGGTGGTTATCACCGGAAGTTTGCTCTGCCTGGGTTTGTTTGGCGAGTTTTTTTCTGGTGGGGACTAAATATTCAGCTCGGTCCATTGGCGCGCTAAACAGCTGATGTGGTAATTCTGTTCCCTCTCTAAAATAAAAAAGTAACCTACAACTAAAAAAAACATTGGCACTAAAATGTTGAGCAGATTTCGAGCACACGATTAAAATCGGAGCTGCAGTGCCATGACTTTGGAATGGAATAAACGATTTCATAAGCATTCATTTGTTTAAACAACCAAACTCTCTCTCTCTCGATCGGGTTTCAAGCCCTTTGGTGGTCATCAGCAGGAAATGTATTTTCAACAGCAAATGTTGCATGCAGGAGCGGTCCTTTCAAACCATACAGCCCGCTCATTATGGCGAGCACTACGTACTAATACATGTTATGCATGTTGCTTTTATAGAGTATTGTCGGTAACGCCACACACACATATATAACTAATCTTACAAAAATAAATCTCTGCGTAAATTACTTTTCTCCCATCCATCAACCAAAGGAGTCTTCTGTGACCCAAGCATTTCATAACGGCGCCTGCTTCAAATCGGCAAACTCTGTGCCGAGAATTCCAGTGTTCTCCGAATGTCATGGGATTTGGCGAGCGGTGGTGGCGTGAGATGAGCGGGCGTGCGTGCCGCATGGCTCGCCACAGTGCCGATTATCTGGGCTGCTTTAAAGCGAGCCGGGAACCCCGGACCCTTGTTAGAGGGACAGCTTGCAGAGGGGTGGGTGTGGGGCTGTGGTTTCAAGCGTACGCTCCGTCGCCACTGGCTGTCTGTCATGTGCCGACGATGGGCCACTTCAAAGCGACTTTATACTGGTGAAGCATTCGCGGTTTTCAAACGTTTTGTGGTGGCGCCGTCATTCTCCCATTCGTGGTTGGGTCTGCTCACAATCGATCTTCATTCTCCCGTTCGTGGTGGGGTCTGCCCAGTGCCCACACTCGCTCCTCCGTACCCCTACGTCCAGCCCTCCCCATGCTTTATTTTGGGTTTCATACTGAGCTGCAGTGGTTTTTTCGAAAATACCACCAGCTGTTTGCAAGCAGAGAGCTTATGCATATTATTATTTAATTTCATAATTTCCGTGTTTTTTTATGTGTTTTTTTTAACTCTAGGGCGAGTGGCCTGCTGGCAAATGTGCCTCGAAATTGGATAAATTCTTGGTTGCAGCTGGAATACAATGTTCTCGTAGGGAATTTCTCAAGGCGTGCTATTTTCTATACAGTGCGCATTTAAGATCCAATGGCACTTTCGCAAAATTAGAGACGACCAACGATTACCAGAATATCAATTAAAGCGCCGAATCTGTACCCACAGTTGAAATTGTAAAAAAAAAATGGGTTTTAAGGATTGCCCCGTAACGACGTTTCCTTATCTCAGAACAGTTGTCCAACTCCTCTTGCTGGCCTTGATGACATCTTGATATTGGCCATGCTTTCAGATTATCAAGGCTCGCTTCATCTCCGCTCGTAATAGTGGTCCGTGGCAACTGCAGCTGTCATGAACCTCTGCTAAGTCGACTCAGCCCAAAAGGAGTGCTTTAGCTGGTACTGTGTGATCAGCATTGGAGATCAATAGCAGCCGAGGGCTCGTATTGACCTCACCGGCCCTCTTGTGAGCAGTGGCAACTTTAATAGGTGCTCGCTAAAATCGCTTAAGATAGCACGGGGCTAAATATATCGCTGTGTGTGTGTGTGCGCTTGCGTATCATGCAATGCAATTATAATAATACATCAGTCAATTTGCAAAAATACATCATGAACATCACTTAATTCTCATTTGCCTATGCACAAGATAATTCACTGAAACCGAGCAAGCCCGTTCCTGACATAAATACAGGAGGTGAGCGGTGGTGGCAACGGTGGTTCATGCACTGCGCGGTAAGCTGGGGACATCCGAGTTCAATTCTCCGCCACGACGAACATCAGGGGCGAGTGACGTCTGCAATCTGTCATGGGTTTGCGTCCTCCACCGACCCGCACTGAGCATCAGGAGGTGAAATGTGGTCACACAACCCCCGTGACCGACACGGTTGCGTGAGACGTCGCTCGAGAAAGGCTATTATTTAAAATGTAAAATCGTCGTAAAATCTGCCCCCCCCCCCCTTTCGTTTGATAACCAGTGGTGTAATGGCAAAACATTGCCCATCTTTGTCACGTGTGAAATCCCTCGCTGCTATGGACAAGCCTAGAACCGTAATGAATGTAAGGCAGAGGAATATCGCGTATTAAATTAACTGTTAAATACACAAATTGCCCGTGTGTGTTTGTGGTTTTGTGTGTGACGTGTGAGAAGTCCAGGTGTAGTAGCGCTAACATGACACTGGGACGGGCATCGGAGAGAGGTCTTCATGTGATGGCGACGGAGGGGAAGACCTAAGAGCAGATGTTGGGAGACTCAGGATGGATGTTGGGAGACTCAGGATGGATGTTGGGAGACTCAGGATGGATGTTGGGTGACTCAGGATGGATGTTGGGTGACTCAGGATGGATGTTGGGTGACTCAGGATGGATGTTGGGTGACTCAGGATGGATGTTGGGAGACTCAGGATGGATGTTGGGAGACTCAGGATGGATGTTGGGAGACTCAGGATGGATGTTGGGAGCCTCAGGATGGATGTTGGGAGCCTCAGGATGGATGTTGGGTGACTCAGGATGGATGTTGGGAGAGTGTCAGGATGGATGTTGGGAGACTCAGGATGGATGTTGGGAGCCTCAGGATGGATGTTGGGTGACTCAGGATGGATGTTGGGAGAGTGTCAGAATGGATGTTGGGAGAGTGTCAGGATGGATTTTGGGTGACTCAGGATGGATGTTGGGTGACTCAGGATGGATGTTGGGTGACTCAGGATGGATGTTGGGAGAGTGTCAGGATGGATGTTGGGTGACTCAGGATGGATGTTGGGAGACTCAGGATGGATGTTGGGTGACTCAGGATGGATGTTGGGTGACTCAGGATCGATGTTGGGTGACTCAGGATGGATGTTGGGAGAGTGTCAGGATGGATGTTGGGAGAGTGTCAGGATGGATGTTGGGTGACTCAGGATGGATGTTGGGTGACTCAGGATGGATGTTGGGAGACTCAGGATGGATGTTGGGAGACTCAGGATGGATGTTGGGAGACTCAGGATGGATGTTGGGAGACTCAGGATGGATGTTGGGAGAGCAGCCGAACCAGCCTGTATGCAAGTTGAATTTCTTTCGCACACTGCACGTAAAGCCAACCCGTGCTATAATTATAATCGAAGCCTGCACCCGGGGCACGAGGCGGCAACCCAGCAGAAGCAACAGCAGCAGGGGGAGAAGGAGGAACAGGACAAGACGTGTTTGTACGCCCAGGTCACACAGCAAAGGAAATAACCAACAACACTACAACATCGGCTGGCCTGCAATCACACGCCAGAGAGCTGCACAACACGACTGTGAAAACCTACGCAGCACAAAGCCCCTCGCACCCCTGTTAGTTGAGGGCAACGAGAACCTCTTTACGGCACAGTTACGAGCAATACAGCAAGCAGCTAAACTAAACAGTTGAAACTTTATTTTTGTATTTTAACAGGTAAGGCCAATTGAGCTATATAGCTATTTTTCATAAGCTACCTGGCCACGTGGCTTATCGTGTGGACATGGAGAACAGCCAAATACTCTTAACGCATGCTGTTTCTAAATGTGGAGGGGAAAACCGGAGGACCCGGAGAAAATTCCACGCGACCACGGTGAGAAAGAGAGAACATACAAACTCCAAATATACAGCAGGCGCCAAAGTCGGGATCGAACCCACTCCCTTTTGCATACCGGGCGAGGCAGTTGACATTTCGCCAAGTGGCTCTCTTTAGTGGGTATGCTGGTTAAGGTCAGTGGTGTAGCGTGGTTGGCACGTGCGTAGAATGATATCTGGCGCCCGTGTCCAATGTCCTCGCCTTTCGTAGCCGGGTTCCTGGGCCCCTCTCCCGACCGAGGGCTATTGGCGCAGTTGCATCGCCTGCACACTCGGGAGCCGATTCAAAATGATTCAAAATCATTAAGCAAGACATGACGGACTGTAAAGTGGACTTGGAAGAGGCTCAGAACAGCAATGAGTGGAGGCAGAGGCTCACGTAGGTGAGAAAACAAATTCCAGAAAGAATAAGCGCAGGAGAAAAGCACGTAACAATTGTCACGGATGTCAACTTTAGGGCAGCATTTCCTAAACTCCTGCAGTCCTGGCGACGCACCTTCGCTCCATCTTTCCGCGTTCACCAATTAACTCCCCGTTAAAACACTAACGAACTCGTTCCACGTGGCACGTGACGCTGTCCGCGTTAATAAAGCCGAATCACATTAAGATTGAGAAGTCGGGTGTTTGTGTGTGCGTGTGCGCACGTTTTCCGTGTGAGCGCGCGCGCACGTGTTCCACGCGAATGCAGACGGCGTTAATTGCGTAACAATCATCGGGCGTGTGGAGGGCGTGGACCGAGTTAATTAGTATTTGGAATTTGTGCGTACATTTGGTAAACGCGGCGCTTCGCGAGGATTGGAGTTTAGGAGATGCTGCAATAGGGGATGGCGAGTTGCTAGTAACAGGACGACCTCGATTGGATCGCTGGTGGCGAGGGCTGGGTTGGGGGTATGAATGGGCAAGGGGGCCGGAGGGAGAGTATTCCTGGGTCGAGTGAAACTCCTCGTATTTATCCGACATGCCAATTAAGCACCCTTCCAATTTATCTCGCAGAATATCATTATCTGTGGATAGATTCTTGCTCAATCACATATACTTCCCATGAACTATATTCTTCTTATTTGCATTTTCCGGACAATGAGAGCCACCCATAAAATTTATTCAGCTATTTGGAGAGGAGTCAAGCAGAAGAAGTGGTCTGTCGAAAGTGCTACACTCACTCGTCCTATATTACGCATTTAGCAGCAGGATAACATGAGTAACCCAGAGCTGGTGGGAACATTCATCCAGTAATCGGAGATGGAGCGATGAGAGGGGCTCGTGTGCAAGGTGCAAGGTGGATTGTGACAACGCTAAACCGTGAGACGTGTCGACGTATAGGTGGAGAGAGGCCTTCATCCAGCAGTGGACGGATAATGGATCATGATGGTGATCTGAAAATGTTTAAGGACGATAGGAATTACCTAGAAATGACTGCCTTTTCATCCTATTACCTTTGGGTTTTTTTTCTTTTGGCAAGACCACACAAATAAGAATTAATTGGAGCAATTTACGCAGAGAACCTCACGTTTTAAGCCAGGGGGGTCAGCATCCTGCGGAGCCGCACGCGACTCTTCAAGTGACTGCTTCAGGAGTCACCGTCTCGATTTCACTACCACAGTGCATTGCGGCTCTTGTTCATATTGCGGTTTTTTTTTTCAACGTACAGAATTCGAAATAAAGTGGCTCATTTTGTTGTTTTGGTTTTCGATCCCCGTTTTAGGCAAATGATTTGGCGATGATGTTTCTGCGTCGTAACAACACGGACTCAACACACCCGTCATAAACGCTGCGTCCGTGACGTAACAAAAAATCGGCGACGTTTCGGTCAAAGGGCCAGTGCCAATGTTGTTGACGAATGTGTCTAGTTTCTACATCCACTGCATTAGAAAACCGCCAATTGAATCTTATGGCTATGGTACCCCGGCGTACCATAGTACCCCGGCTCTCGCATAATCTCTGTGATGCAGTTATTTTAGTCTGTTGATGGTCGGCGATGCGGCAATCGACTCATCTCGACGAGCTGTACACGATGCGATATTCAAAGTAGAATTTTTTGTTAACGGATTTTTCATGCTATGGTTTGGCGTTTCGACATCGCGGAGTAGCGCTGATTTCGGATCGATTGGTTACCCCAGTCGCGGAGTTAAGTAACACCCCTGGGAAAAAAAGAGTGTCCCAGAAATAACATATTTAATTGCCTCGGCCCATTTTGTATTACTCGGTTACCCCAGGGTACCGCCATGAGGATCGATTGACACCCCACCCCCACTGAACTGCACTGCGTACCAGCCTATAGCATGGCTCTTTTTCAAGAGCGAACTGCAGCGGTGACTCATGCTCGTTATAATAAGCAGTTCTTATGGCTGATGAAGAGGAGGTTGATGATGATGATGGATAATTCTGGACTAAATTTGCGGTGTATAATTTAAACTTTCCCAACCTGCCCCCCAACTTTTGCAAGCATCGCGGCTCAGACATTTGTAAAGGAGGCAAACGAGGCTCCCAATAATGGGATTGAGCAATTTTAATGGCACTCCTTAAAATAAACAGCGAAGAGGTCTGGTGGAGTTGGGGGGTGTGTGAGGGCGAAGGAGAGGAGAGGGGGAGGGGGGTTTTGGATGTTATGGTGAAAGGCGAGATTGTGTAGCCCTTAGGAGGAAGTGGGATGGCCAACAGATTAACTTGGCCTGGCTTTTGCACAAGTCTCTTCTGGGCAGGAGTACGTCTCTACGAAGGGAAATATTATAGCCCGTGGTCGAGACTAACTGCAGAGTGGCAGCCAAAGGAGGAGAGGGGGGGGGGAGGGGACAAGCCCGAGAGGACGTAGAGCCATAGAGATGGAGCAATGAAATCAGCTCGTGTGCAGGAGCCAGACGGATTGGATTACATCGCACGGCTGAGACTGGAAGGCAACGTCATACAGCAGTGGATTGATCATGGCTGATGAGAATGATCGTGGTTGCCACAGTCATATCCTATCCGCAATTCTATTATCCGCCATCCTCTATGGGGATTCTCATACAGTATTTGAATGACAATAGCATAACTAAGAACGTTGATGTATTGGAATGACGATTATATTGGCGTAATTCACAACATTACGCCTGGCAAGTGGTAATTGGAATGTTGGCTGATGACTGTGCCCATCGTTTCTCCAGGGTGGATAGAAATTAGTTTAATTCTGTGCAAGGCCGTAGCCATGGAGTCAACATTGGGGGGGGGACCAAATCTTCCAGGGGGTCTGGGGGTCTCAACCCAGAAAAAAAAAATCTAGATTTGAAAACTAATTTCCTGCCTAAAATAAAGTATTAAAAATTCACTAACACATGGGATGGACTTTATATTTATTTTTAACAATGTCTAATAGTGTATTGTATTAAATTGCTCTGTTTTAACTTTTTTTAATCCATTTCTTGTTTCATTGTTTGTAATGGCAGAGATTAGGGATTAATAAAGTACAACCATAACCACAATCATTTCAACAGAAATCTATGCATTGATTTATATGAAGACAAGTCCAGATATTGTGGCCAAGGTTTAGCAAATTGTTTTTATTTACATAGCATAGCAATTTTTTTTAATAGCAATATATTGGGGAGGGGGGGGGGGACATTTTGAACATAATTGAATATTGGGGGGGGGGGGGGGAAGTAAAATGGTGGTCGTCTTTGCGGTGTCAATGGTTCACGTCACGGGAATCTGGAATATAATCGAGATTTGAAGCTTTCGTGACTGCAGGAATCCATACTCGTTGGTTCTTTCGGTAAAGTCACGGAGGTAGAAATAAATTAAAATTAAATAAATCACGTTTCGGGCGCATCATCAGGTGATGATCAGGTGATGATGGACGCTTGTGTGTGAGCCCGAAACGTCGTGATTTACTTTATACCTACGTGACTTTACCGAAAGAACCAATGAGAATGTGGCATGTACTGTAACAACAGTTTTTTTGTAAAAAAATAAGAAAGAAAAAAATTTGAGATCTTCACGCGAGACTTTACAATGAGTGTGGAGTCTCCGTTAGGGGCAGTTACGGTAATCCTGTTGCTCCTCCCTCCCTCCTGTTGCTCCTCCCTCCCTCCTGTTGCCCCTCCCTCCCTCCTGTTGCTCCTCCCACTCCTCCTGTTGCTCCTCCCTCCTCCTGTTGTTCCTCCCTCCTGTTGCTCCTCCCACCCTCCTCCTGTTGCTCCTCCCTCCCTCCTGTTGCTCCTCCCACTCCTCCTGTTGCACCTCCCACCCTCCTGTTGCTCCTCCCTCCTGTTGCACCTCCCACCCTCCTGTTGCTCCTCCCTCCTCCTGTTGCTCCTCCCTCCCTCCTCCTGTTGCTCCTCCCACCCTCCTGTTGCTCCTCCCTCCCTCCTGTTGCTCCTCCCACTCCTCCTGTTGCACCTCCCACCCTCCTGTTGCTCCTCCCTCCTGTTGCACCTCCCACCCTCCTGTTGCTCCTCCCTCCTCCTGTTGCTCCTCCCTCCCTCCTCCTGTTGCTCCTCCCACCCTCCTGTTGCACCTCCCACCCTCCTGTTGCTCCTCCCTCCCTCCTCCTGTTGCTCCTCCCACCCTCCTGTTGCACCTCCCACCCTCCTGTGGCTCCTCCCTCCCTTCCTCTTGTTGCTCCTCCCACCCTCCTGTTGCTCCTCCCTCCCTCCTCCTGTTGCTCCTCCCACCCTCCTGTTGCTCCTCCCTCCCTCCTCCTGTTGCTCCTCCCACCCTCCTGTTGCTCCTCCCTCCTCCTCTTGCTCCTCCCTCCTCCTGTTGCTCCTCCCTCCTGTTGCTCCTCCCACCCTCCTGTTGCTCCTCCCACCCTCCTCCTGTTGCTCCTCCCACCCTCCTGTTGCTCCTCCCTCCTCCTCTTGCTCCTCCCTCCTCCTGTTGCTCCTCCCTCCTGTTGCTCCTCCCTCCTCCTGTTGCTCCTCCCTCCTGTTGCTCCTCCCACCCTCCTGTTGCTCCTCCCTCCTGTTGCTCCTCCCTCCTCCTGTTGCTCCTCCCTCCTGTTGCTCCTCCCACCCTCCTGTTGCTCCTCCCTCCTGTTGCTCCTCCCTCCTCCTGTGGCTCCTCCCTCCTCCTGTTGCTCCTCACTCCTGTTGCTCCTCCCACCCTCCTGTTGCTCCTCCCTCCTGTTGCTCCTCCCTCCTCCTGTTGCTCCTCCCTCCTCCTGTTGCTGCTCCCTCCTGTTGCTCCTCCCACCCTCCTGTTGCTCCTCCCTCCTCCTGTTGCTCCTCCCTCCTCCTGTGGCTCCTCCCTCCTCCTGTGGCTCCTCCTGTTGCTCCTCCCTCCTGTTTTCCTCCCTCCTCCCGTCGCTCCTCCCTCCCTTCCCGCCTCATCATCAGCAGCAGCAGCAGGAGTGGAGTGATCATTATCAGCAACCGCAAGCAAGCCGCGGGTTCCATCGCGACTCGCACGGCTCGCTGTGTCGCAGCCTTGACCCCGCCATCTCGCGAGGGCGGTGCAGGGAAGGAGGAGGCAGAGCGGGGATAGATAGCGAGCTGCGTGTGTGTGGTGGTGGTGGTGGTGGCGAAGTTTCCGTGGTGTTGTTGTGGTGGTGGTGGTGGAGTTTTGGTGGCGTTGTTGTGGTGGTGGTGAAGTTTCGTGGCGTTGTTGTGGTGGTGGTGGAGTTTTGGTGGCGTTGTGGTGGTGGTGGAGTTTTGGTGGCGTTGTTTGGTGGCTCTTCGTCGTGGGGTGGAAGAGAAGTGTGGTTTTGTTGGTGGTGGTGGGTTGTTTTAGGTTGTCGTGGTGTGTGTGGGGGTGGGATATTCACACGCGTGTGTGTTTTTGTTCACCGTGTGCGTGCGACAGGGTGTTTGTTGCGTGTCTGTAGGGTGTAGGTGAAGGCGTATTCGCCAGGGTAACAACTCTGTGTGTGTGATAGCTTGTTGGGGGTATTGTTTTTATATTGTTTACGCATGCCTGTAACGGTTACGTGTGGTATCGGGACACATTGGTTTTGTTGAACTCTTAAACCTCGAGATTACATCGGTTCGTGTGTGTGTGTGTGTTGGGGGGGCGTGCTATTTGCTATCACTTATTCCAAAGCCTTGGACGTATCGGCGCACGCGTGTGTGACATTAACACTGATGTGGTGAACAACATTCACTGGGTGGTGTGAAGTTTCAGGTGTGCACGATTTGTGTGGGTGTGCGTTTCACCATACCGTGTGTGTGTGTGTGTGAACACAATACTATACACGGCAAGAGAGATTGTGAGTGAGAGCTAAGAGAAAGAAGAGTGAGTGTGTGTGTGGGCGAAAGGACACCACACCCCATACAACAAACACAAAGGGGTGAGCGAAGTTGTTGTTGGGGTTGTTGTTGGAACGAGCAAACTGCTTGCACACCTGCACACGATGGGTGCCAAGCTACCTCCATCACCACTCCTGCTGCTACTGCTGCAGCTGACATCGACTGCCTGTGGGGTGGCCTACAGGGACGTGCCCGGTCAAGGTGAGCACATCTCTGCCCATCGTTCCTTGCTTTGCCCTCCCATTCATCGATTCGTTGCGTTGGTGGGGCCCACTTGTTAAGCTTTGAAGAAGAAAAAAGTCAAACGGCCATAACGTCTATTTTTATACGTGTGGCTTTTTCAAGGCCCCCCCCCCCGTGGTGGTTGACGAATGTGTGTGTGGTTGTTGTTGTTTGTGCCTGTGCACACCACCACTGCCAACGCAGCGTTGCCATGCGCATGTTTATTAATCGGATGCGGTCATCCGTGACTTCTTCTTTATCTCGCACGCTGGAGAAACATCCCGTGGGGATGAAATGCGAAGAACGGTCGATGTTGTTGGTGGTTTGTGAGTTGCCCGGCTCCGCTGGTTTGTTTTCTGTAGCCTCCGGTGATTTCTGAGAGTGGAGGGCGACAATTGGCCCGATTACGATGTCGATTATTAACGATCGATCCGTTCTGATGTTGGCCGAGTACTTGGGGGCAAACTTGGACGATTGGAGGAGACGCGCCCCGCCGTTTTGCAAAGTTCATTTACGCACCTCTCGAATTGGCACGTTTACTACGACAAATGTTTGTTTTATTTTATTTCTACCTCCGTGACTTTGCCGAAAGAACCAAAGAGTATGGATTCCTGCAGTCACAAAAGCTTCAAATCAAGATTACCACTCTTCTTGGTTCTTTCGGTAAAGTCACGTAGATGGGAAATAACATACAATTCTCACGACGTTTCGGCCACAACGCAAGCAGCCGTCCTCAGGTGAAGAACAGGTCTGTCGGAAAGACAGCGTCTGAATGACAGACCTGTTCTTCACCTGAGGACGGCTGCTTGCGTTGTGGCCGAAACGTCGTGAGAATTGTATGTTATGTTTTATTTTTATTATTTTATTTCCTTTCTACGTGACTTTACCGAAAGAACCAAGAAGATGAATCCCTGCAGTCACGAAAGCTTTAAATCGAAATTTAAGATTACCACGACTAACTTGATTTTTTTACCAGGTAAGGTCCACTGAGCTAATATATCTCGTTTTCAGAAGAGACGTGGCCGCAAATGTCAGCTCAGCCAAGTGGCTTCTCGTCATTTGTGTGAACATTTAGATCAGCCACATTATCTTTAAGCGCACGTTGATTTTCAATGTGGAAGGGGGGGAAAAACCGGAGATCAATCAACGTGACCACGGGGAGAAAACACGCAAACTCCAAACATACAGCAGGCGTCGGGGTTGGGATCGAACCCACGACCTCCTGCGCACCAGGCAAGAGGGAGCTAACATCTAACTTGTTTCGTAAGTTGCCAAACTACGTAGAGTGCCAAATAATTCCAGCATTTTCACTGCACTGCGTTTTGTACTCTGTAGTACATGTGCAGGACACAAACTTAACTCTGTTCATCATGATGTTGGTCATCGGTGGGTGTCACCGTTGCTGCTAACGCGCCGACTCCGATGAATCGTTACACAAAAAACACGAGAAACGTGATTTTTATTAAATTTTTTATTTTACTTTTATTAATTCAAATTTTTACCTACGTGACTTTACCGAAAAACCTAAGAATATGAATCCTTGCAGTCACGAAAGCTTAAAATCTAGAATTAATACATTCTACGGGGAGGAATTCCACCTATCTGTTAGAGTTTTTAACAGACAACGAGACAAGAAGTAGTAACAGCTTCTCGAGACGCTGGCCTTCCTAAAGAGATGCCGAGATAACAAGGTAATACGGGTTTCTTGGAATTTCTCTCACTTGATACAGCTATCGTGCTGTGACCGTTCCACCTGAAGACGGAAGCTTGTGTTGCCTCCTAAACGTCGTGATTTTAATTTTACTTTTATTAATGTTTTACCTACGTGACTTTACCGAAATAACCTAAGAATACGAGGCCCGTTGTAAATGAGTCTTGAGACTCTGATGGTTTCGGTGGCTTACAAGGTCCGAACGCCGGGCCTGTGATCTGCTAAAGCCGCGATGCTCGAGGGCAGCGATTTTGACGTTCCCGGTCGCCGATGACTGACACCAGAAACAACCAAACTTCGCATTTCGTTTTTGGTCTGCAACTTAATTTGGCTGAATTCCAAGCTCCGCTGAGAATTGCAAAATATATCGGTTTGAGTGTCATGGGACGAATATGTTTAATCTCACGTGACCAAGCTTGTGGGAGAAATTGCTTCCAGCCCATGACTGCCTGGACCAGTTGTAACTTGACGGAATGATTATCAGTGGTAGTAAAGCACTTTCATAGCCACTTGTGCAGGCCATGCTCTTATCTACTGCTTCGAGAGATGCGGATGGCTGATATCTCTCGTGATTCGATGGCACAATAGGCATACACAAATACATTGTCCTTGGAAATGCGTCTTGGGGGATTTTCTGGATGAATTACATTAATATCGCTGTGTTATTGTACTGTACCGGTAACGATTTTGTTGATTACTTTGTACAGATTTGGTCATACAATCTGACGGAGTGTGCGTGACTTATTGTGAAATGTTGTGGTACTTGAATAACAATACGTGGTTCTGTATTTGGACCTCGGTTGTTTGAATACTCTTTCCCCACCCCCCCAAACTCGGTAACCAGCATGAGAACCAACACACTCGTGACCTTAACCCAGATGTTTTACATCCTAAACGGAGCCCATAACCACGCCTCAAATCTTAACTGCAAACTATATATTACAGCGCAATGGATCAGCTGTGAACGGTGTTTTTGGCAGAAAACCGGTTTAGCGTTCTTTTGGAAATATGAGAAGCCAGCCAAACGTTGAGGACCCTTCCAGTAGTCTCGCCACGAATGTAGTAGTGGTAGTCAGATGTTTATCACAGTCGGCCGTGTGACGCTTTCAGAATGTATCGCCATCGGACAGATATAGGGAAGCATGTTGCATAAGAAATGTTGTTGCCAGTGGAGTTGGTATTTTTTTGCTGCTCCCTCTGCTGCAGCTGTAATAGCACAGTGTTTGTGCATCACGATGTGTGTGTATATAGCATGTATTTGTTAGGTTAAGGATTTGGATTTATTGCGTGCTTAAATGTCCCAGCATTTCGGAGAACCTTGCATCACAGCTCACCTCAATCATGCCAAAAGGCCAGTTGTAGTTTTGTTCTTCGAGCCAGGTGAGACCCCTCATGCCATCTTTTCTCTGTGCAGCAGAAGGGGACGCTGCACCGGCTAAGCGAGTGGGTGGGCATTAGTCCGGCCAATGGACGAGACCAGTGATGGAATTTGAGGCTTTCGTGACTGCAGGAATCCATACTCTTTGGTTCTTTAGGTAAAGTCACGTGGGTAAAAAAAAAATAAAGAGCAGTGATGGAATGTCAGCTAAAAAGAGAGGATGACCTCTATGCAGATGGAGCAGTGTGGCGTTAGCTCGGGTGCATGGGCGAGACTGGCATCGCAAGACCTCGAGGGGACGGTGCCAATTTGATAATTCCTTCATCCAGCGGTGCATTGATCTTGGCGGCTGTTGTTGATTGATGATGAATCTGTCTGGGGAGTTGGCAGAGGATTTGGATGGCCTGGCAGGCAAGTTGGAAGACGTGGCTTAAAGTCAGGTGTTTGTGCTGGCAGATTGCTCAAGGCTAATTATGAAACCAGCACTGGGTATATTTGAGTCCTGTGGCATCTTGTGGATGGAAGACACCACCAGAACCGGTTTGTGACCGCACCCTCTGCAGCATTTGCGGTGCAGAATATCGATGGATTTACATAGTCCCCACTCCTAAATACGCGAGCACTGTCTTGCACGTAAGCAGCAGTCAATGTACGAATAAGACTGGCCGCCGTCGGAGAACTGGAATTTTGACTAGTGGCTCAGGCCTGCCAGTGATGTTAAGGGACGACCCAACAATCCTCCCTGAACGTATTGGGGGACACGCACTGATTTGTCAACACCGTGCAGCAAAGCACGAGTAACCTAAGATGTGCGATTCGTGCGTGTTTTGTCGTACGTATGCGGTGGTATCGGTGTAAGTCTGAAACAACCCTTGATGACCACCTGTTACTAACTTGTGCCACAGTAGTCAACAGTGATTCTCGCTTCCTCTCGATTTACAAACGGAGTGTCCCGAGACATCTCCAAGGGTACAGATTGCGAAAGCGCTCCTCGTGTATGGTTGTGAACGACGTAGCTTGGAGGACTGGTGCGCGTTTGCAAAAACACGCGGTTACGTATGTATATATTTTTTCTCACTTTTTTGCGACAGTGTGATATCCGAGCGAGTCAACTTAACCTTTGGCTAGGGGCGATGTGGGGGGGTGGACAGCATTTGGGAAAAATACGATGGGCGAAAAAACATGTCCCGACCCATCTATAAGATCCGAGCTGGTTCACACCCGCCTCATTGTTCCTCGCTGGAAATAGATGTCTTCTCAAAGTTTGACAGCGCTGGGAAAACGATCCAAAAGCAAATTTATATTCCCATGCTATTGATGGGACGACCTCTGCCGTCGCCCGCGGCTAAATGACATCGACGGCGGTGTGAGTCTGCATTTTGAGGTCTGTGCCGGCGGGACGGGCGGTACTCGTTACCGGTGGAGCCAGGCCTGGGTGGGAACGTCAAAAGTGTGGGGAAAGGAGTCGTGGAACCACGAGCCCTCACCCCCTTCGGGCTTGGTACGCGAGCTGGCGAGACTCGACTCGCGTTCGTTCGCCTGCTGGCACGGAGCCACCTCCACCGGCGCTTTAAAGCGTCCATTTGTTTTTTAAATCCTTAATATTAAGTTCACTCGCTTGCTTGCTTAGGACCGTGCAAATCTTTCGGTCGTTTTTTAACCCACTTCCCGTGATCCAATCGAGCTGACATTTTCCACACAGACTCGTTGTGCGTGACAATTAATGTTCGTGAATTTTTTTTCTCCAAAATTTCACACTTTTTACGACAAAAATATAATATTTAATTACCTATTTCTTAATGCTGCCATGCAATCATCTGACCCATAGGTGGCAGCCATCTCAAGCCAGAGGACGAGAGGACTCTAGCCGCCATGCATATAAAGGATTTA